ATGCTCCAATGAAACACGTGATTGTCAAAACTTAACTAAAGGTCTTTTCATTAGCTATTGCCTCTTTTTACAGCCAATATACAAATACTACTTTGATTAATTTATTTTTTCCTGTAGAAACTCTGATTAAATTATAATACAACCTTGGTTATAAACTGGGTAATGCATACATCTACATATCTATAGAGATAACCTTATCTTATTTCTCAGCTAAACCAGTATCAATATTTTCATGTTATATTATCATTACATCATGTCCAAGCCATTCTCACCACTATAAAGGAACCATCATAGACATGTTAGTAGCACATGAATAAGATCATTGTAGATGCAAAATGGTTAGGATAGTGATTTACATACACAAACAGCTTACTAGACTGAACAAAGGAGCCAAATGTTCACAATAAGAAGAAACCTCGTTAAAGCGATACTCCCATGGTGAACAAAAAGAAGTGACTTTACGTTTGTTGAACAACACATTCAGAAAAATTAAAGATACTCCAAGTCAAAGCTGCAAAATTGAGCAAAACATAGAGAAAATAACAGAATGGGCAGTCAAAATGTGAAATCACCTTAGATTTTGAAGATGCTTGCTGCACACCCTTTTTAGAGCCCTTACCACCAGTTTGTTGGCTTGCCAGGTCTAAAATAGTGCTGTCTAAACACCATAGTACAAAAGAACCGAGTGCCTCAATCGAATGTTGATTGATCCAATCAACTGATGTCTTATAAACAGCATCAGAAATATGAGAAAGTGGAATCTGTTGAAAATCATATCAAGTGATCAGCCAGAATAAATCGAGAGGACGAAGGGCAGAGAAAAAGCAAAAACCAGGTATTTCAAGATTTTCTCCGAAAAGAGAGAGAGAGAGAGAGAGACGGAAAAAAAAACTAAGGTTAATTGGTCAAACAATTGAAACTCAAAACAAAAGGCTTTCTTTAAAGGTGTAAAAAACAGAAAGTAAAAGTTGACCATCAGAAACCACCCAAAATCAATTCATGGAATTATGGACGCGGGGAGGGGGGGATGATGGAGGTAGACGGAAGGAATGGAATTACACGAGGTATTAGTTGTTGGAGATGAGAAATGGAGGCCAAAAATTAACCTTTCATTCTCCCTCTATTATTAATCATGTAATCCCCAAATTTGGATCAAATGAAAAAGAAATAATATATTAACCCATTAAAAAGGCCAACTATGCTTCCTACACTTGTAAAATTGTAAAAGAAGTAGAGTTTTCCCTTTTTTTCACCCAATGACCAAACAATAAATAAAGTTCTCTACATTTATTTTCTCTTGCAAATTTTCTAATATTCAAACAAGAGGAAAGGAAATAATACATATCTTCCTTTCACCATCCTCATTTCTTTTCTTTTGTCTTCCCCTCAAATTCCATAAGTACCTATATGAAATGATCTACCTGCTTTTCTTCATCTCCTTTTCCATTTCTCTTCCATCTCTCTCTCTTTTTCAGGAGCAAAAAACCCAATTCAACATAGCCAATCATTATCCCGAGCCAGCTGGAGTTCCAAAAAGCAAGTACTTTTGCACCATACTTCAGGACAGGAAATTTTCCCCTCACCAAAGATAAGTAAATTGCACGATAGTCTCCAAAACGAGTTCGTGTCAGAAAAATATAATGCACTCTTTAATGAATTTCATCACCAACAATAGAAATAACTTGACAGTGAAAAAAATCATCAACGACAACATTGAACAAATATGATGCAGATGCATGATTCATGGTGCATTATAATTTCAACTTCAGTGGATAATTGATCATTATCTTCTCAATTAATAGTAAGGTTTGTGTATAAACATGCATAGCTCATCATAATGCAGAAGTTAAACAACAAAAGACATCTGCATTGACTATAATGCAATTTAAAAAAATCAAATATCTCTTATAACAACTCACATCGGCCATTTTCGCTAAGGTGCTCTCCCTGAAAATCTTTAACCATGGAAATTGCGACGCGGGTACCCCAGAGAACGCCCTCCCGAAGTAATCCGCAAACCTCATCAGCTGTATCTCCTGCTGGTCCCCATAGGATCCCTGCTCGGAAAAAGAGAATAAAGATTGGTACATCAATTAACAATTAAACCATGCAATTAGCAATTCAATTTCCACCTAAAACAAACAGATCAACCCAAAACGTATTTCTATACTCACAGAAACTTCGGCTAGGAAAGCCGCGAGATCAGTTATATCGATCTTCGCAGCCGCCTCGGCGACAGTCACCTTGGGCTTCTTCGGCTTCTTAGTTTTAACCTTCTTGACCTCTCCTTCCTTCCCATCTTCCTTTCCGGCTGCAATCTCTGCGTCGCTGTCGTCGTCGTCGTCGTCGTCGTCGTCGTCGTAGTCACGGGATCGACGACGCGATCTCGGCGGAGCAACACTTTTTGGATCGGAGGCGGCGGCTGCTCTCTGCGCCTCGAGGATCCGGCGGCGGCGGTCCTCGGCCTTCTGGTCGAGCGAATGGAAGACATTTTCGCCATTGGCTAGTTTCCATTAGGGAGAGCTTGGCGTTGGCGGAATTAGCAGCG